CCTTGGTGAGCTCTCATTCGATCAGTCCCCTTGTATCAGTGGGTGAACGCACCCCTCGCGGTCCTGATTTCCTTTTTCATGTTTTCCCTCCTTCTGCTCCTCATTTGGACCTTGGGGGCCTCAGTCCAGTGCTCCAATGTGGGTCTCCGTCTGTATCGCCATCCATCGTCGGATGAAGGTTCCCTCTGGTCCTGCCTATCTTGCTCACGTGACCAAGTCCAATCTACCAATGTTCTGAATTGTGGCCTGCCGTTGGTGCTGTGTCTGAGGTACTCATTACTGCTCAGTATGCGGTTATGAAGCATATGTTGTATTATCTACTAAGGTTTTGTTTTTTTGGTTGATCTTTTAAAGTCTATGGTCTCAATTGAAATTGATTTTGTGTAGGAATCTAAATTCATTCTTTGGTACTTGGATATCCAGTTGTTCTGGCACCATTTTGGTATTTTAAGATTATTGTTTTTCTGCTTGAATTGTCCTGACAGTTTTGTTGGCAGTCTGATTTTAAGGGCATTTGGGACCTGTGATCCAGTACATCTGTGCACACGTGTGTCAGTGTCGTCTACTGGTGGCCATCCTAAAAACACACCAACAGAGCAGGTCCTTTTGCTTTCTCCTTTCCTCCAGGGGCACTTGCGAGGCAGCTCCTTGGATTGTTGACAATGTGATTGATTCATCTCATTATTGTTGACTTACTAATATTTCCCAAGTTTCATTCTGTGAATTATGACAGATTTTTTAAGTCAGTTGTCCAGTAGCAAACACCTTACCTCTAAGCCACAAACTCCATTTAAATTATAAGCCACACATATTTTGAAAAAATTAAATGCAATTAAATTTCTTTTCCATTTCCATTACTCCCTTTTATGTCCCTTTTATGTCTTGTTTAAGAGGTCTGTCTTCTTGAGACCACAAATGTACCTTTTATTTATTTATTTTTCCCAGTGAAAGTCAGAAGAGAAAATACAGCTGGAAGTAAATTTGGACAGCAATAGCTAATAGAAGACAATCCAGAATTTGGAATTCTCTACACATGGTCAGATGCTAATCCAATTAATTGTAACTTTAAGGTTTTAAATGTAGCATACATGACTGAGATTTCATTAAAGAGCAATTTTCCACTGTAAGAAATTGTCGCTTCTCTCATGGGCTTCTTTCTAGTTTTCTGATGTCTCTGTTCTTCAGCTCCTATGTAGATATACAGAAATAAAATCTGAAGCTAATATCCACAAATGAGAACACGTAGTGTTTGTCTTTCTGAACCTGGGACACTTCTCTTACTACTTTTCAGCTCTATCCATTTTCCTGCTGATTACTTAACTCCATTTTTCTTTATGATTGAAATTCCATTGTGCAGATGTCCCGCATTCTTATTATTAATTCATCTATTGATGAACATGTAGACTGATTTATTTTCCTAGCAATTCCTTTTTTCTAGCAGCCATGAACAAGAGCAATTATCTTTTTAGTAAGATATTCAGTCTTTTTGGTGTCTAGAGATGGAATAGCTGTGTCATGTGGAAGCTCTATTTTTAAGTTTCTGAGGAGAAAAAATCAAGCTGATTTCCAAAGTAACTGTATCAGTTTGTCCTCCCATCAGTAGTGAATGAGGCTTCTCTTTCTCCAAATGCTCTCCAGCATCTGTTGTCATTTTCTTGATAGCTAGCATGACAGGGGTAAGATGGAATCTGAGTGACTTTAATTTGCATTTCCCAGATGACTAAGTACTTCTGTTGTGTGGCAAAAATTTGTTCCCATTCTGCATGCTGTTCACTAATTTTGCTGTACAGAGAACCCTTTCAGTTTCTCAAGTCCCATTTGCTGCTAATTGCCCCATTTCCTGAGCTACTGTTTTCTATTCAGAAACTCGTTACCTATTATTATTGATTTTTTTTTCTAGTCTCCTTAGATTCTGGGGTCTTACACTACGGATTGAAATCCACTTACAGTTGATTTCTATGGAAGATGAGAGATAAGGGTTTATTTCACTCTTCTGCACGTGGAAATCAGTTTTCCCCACACTTTGTTGAAGATGCTGTCTTTTCTCCAATGACTAGTTCAGCACTTCAGCAGTATGGATTTATGTCAAAGGTTTTCTGTTGTTTTTTTCCTGGATCCACTGGTCTACATGTCCATCTTTGTGTTGGCACCTTCTCTTCCTTTCTCCTTCCCCCATCCACAGTAGAGCACTGTTATGTTATTTGTTGTTAGGGAGAACAAATCTGCATTTTTGGTTGTAATATTTTCTTTTGCTTTGTTTTTATAGGTACCATTTCTAAACTTTTCATCCACTCCATTTGTACATACCTATGTGATTAGCATTTTAACTTCTATACCACTTGACATTGATGATTGGCATGCAAAAATCTCCCCTTCTATATTCATCCCCTTTGTAGAATTTGACTCCACTTATAGTTACCCTTGAGCATCCTTTCCAGAGTAAACTCCTATTCATGTGAACTAGGATTACACCAAAATAACCAGACAAACTGCAGCCAGACTTCATGCTCTTTAACTGAGCATTCTTGCCTATTACACAATCCTGACGTACAGCAATCATATTTTAAGTATGAAGATAATGTATCTGTTTCCTTACATTCTATGTGCCTTGGGATTTGGTGTGTGTTTGTATAAGCAAAACTTTTCTCATTATTTCTTGATTTTACCTTCCTTCTTAAATATGTTTATTAGTTCTGTTTTGATTGTTCACTGAGTCTAGAATATTTTTATTGCTCCTAGTTATTATTATCCTTTGCTTTGGAACTTGACACAAACCAAATTCTTGACAACTAGACACATCCTTTAGTGAATGTGTTGCCTGACTTATTAAAAATTCTATACTCACTGCAGATTATAGTAAGAGCTGCTTTAGACTTTAATACTATTGTATCCCGTCATTTAGCACCTAATCTAAGACCCTTTTAAATATAAAGGGACCCAGAGATGACAGTATAAGCCAGAATCTTACTGATATACCAAGTTAAAAAAGCAACAGAAACACAGAACTGTATTTTCTCAAACTGCAAAATACATTTTTCAAGTACTAAAAATACTTTAAAAAACTGACCATAGAGTATGGCTATACTATAAGTTTTTACAGGTGGCAAAAATTAAAAATATCCAGAATATGTTCTATAAGTACAAAATAATGAAGTCAGATATTAATGATAAAAATACTAGAAATTCTCAAATTTATAAAATTGAAAATATTTTTAAGTTAACCCTTAATAAGAATGAACTAAAAAGTTAAATGAGGAAATTTATTTTACATAAATGAGAATAAAAATACCACCTTTCAAATCTGTGGTATGCTAACAAGTAATATTCAAGAACATGTAAAAATCTTAAATATTTAAGGCTGGAGGCAAGAAAATTATATCAACTATGTAGGCAACTATGTGGAAATAAATTTTCCAAAAAAATTTTAAAGGAACTAAAAATAATACCAGGAATTGATGAAATACAAAACCAATAAATAACAGAGTACAGAGAAACCCAAGCTTTTGAGAATTTTAAAATACTTGAAAAAAATCTCCAATGAGAATGATGAAGAACAAAAATAAAAGACACAGATCACTAGCTCTAGTAAGATGGAGGTCAGCACTGTAAGAGACGTGAAAGCAAAACAAAGAGGAAACAAAACAAGAGTATGGACAATTTTACACTAATACATTTTTAAAATTAAGGGGAGAGATTGCTAGAAAAATATTAACAGACACAAGAATAGAGAAAATTAAATATATTCATAACCATCAAAGAAATTGAAATATCAGCCAAACTCTTAGAAAGAAACTTCCAAACTCAAGACAGCTCTACTGGGGAACTTTACCAACCATTTAAAAAATGCAATTCCAATCTTGGGCAAATTTTTCCAGAGAACAGAAAGTATGCTTCCTAATTTGTATTATGACACAAATCCTGAGGACATTAGGAGAAAGGAAAACAGTTAATATTCCTTTCGGACACTGACACAAAAATTCTAAATAAAGTATGAACTCGCTGACCCTAAGACTATGTGCACTGTGGTCCAGATGGCTTAGTCCATAAATAAAGGATTAGGTAAACCCTAAAATAAATCTGTTGAACACACAGTAACATATTAAAAGGAAATCTCAAATGCAGAAGTATTTAGTACAACTCATCATTTAAACACAGTGTTTACACTATAGACCAGTGCTGCTGTCGGGCTTTCACCAGAGGAGCTTCTTTCTGAAGCATCCAGCAGTAACTGCAGAGACTGGTGACTAGTCAAAGCGCTGAGAATAAATGTCTGTTGAACACTCAGCCCTAAATGGGACACCTCTATCACACCGTTAAGGTTCAGAGAACACGTTGGAAGTGGCAGGGAGAATGGAAATGCCTAAGGGGCAGTATTGGAGAATAATCTTCAGGCATGACCATGGCCTTTGTACTCTTGAACTCAAAAGCTCTGGCTGCCTGTGCTTGACCTATACAAGGCTGGGTTTGTCAACATTCTGCCAGAGAAGAGGGAGGGACTAACAAGACTCCACCCCTTTCTGAAGATCTGTAGTAATTAATGACTTCCAGGATAAGGAAGAACTTTCTTCAGTGGTACAGCCACTGGTAAGATGCCCATGATCCTGTAAGCAACCCTAAGGAAACTCACTGGATCACAAAATAAAGTAAGGAAATAAGTAGATATAAAAGTAGAAAAGGGATTAGTTAGGAAGTGGAATCAGTGGGAGGGAAAGAGATATGAATATGAACAAAATACATTATATGCACATATGAAAATGTCATAATAAAATGTCATAATAAATACATTATATGCACATATGAAAATGTCATAATAAAATGTCATAATAAAAAATTAGGTGTAATATATAAGACATTTTTAAATGTATTATTTTTTCAGCAATCTCAAATAGTAAGAAAATCCCATAAAATATATCACTGCAAACCTTCAGCAAAATTGTACATAATAGTAGTAAGTTAAAAGTCTTATCTTGCATATCAAGAAAAAAACAGGGACACCTGGGATCAGAATCTTTATTCAACATTGTCCTGGAAGTTCTAACCAACACAAGGCAAGGGAAAAGAGAAGGCAGAATGGAAAGAGACTGTAAAAGAAGAAACACATCATTATTGGCAGATGGTGTGTGTGTAAAAATATTCAGAGTAAACCACTTGAATTAACAGAAGAATTTGGCAAGTTCTCTAAGTTTCAAATAGATATATACAAAAATCAACTACATTTACATATACCAGTTACAAATGATCCAAATTTAAGAATGACATCATTGACAATAACATTAGATATTAATGACACCTAAAGCCAGCAAGAGCTTGTGAGATTTCTGAAGCAGTAATATGAATATACACAGAGAAGCAGTATACTGACATGCTTTAGAAAATAAAGATGATCTAAAGAAATGAGAAGATATACTTCGTGCCTAAATCTAAAGACTGAATCATTATAAACACCACTTTTTAAATTTGCAAATGTAATGTTATTCCAGTTAAAACTCCAAGTGTATAGAATTTGACATTTGGCCCCTGAATATACAAAGGGCAAAGAGATCTTGGAAGAGAGGAAGCGGTAAAAAGAATTGTTCAACTAGGTAACAAGACACCAGTATTACATTACAGACAAAATGAATGCCTGGCTGCCTAAGAAAGTTCTATGAAGTCTTAAGAAGATACTCACAGAGAGTACCAACATGATTTCAAAGCAAAGTCATTCTCAACTAAAATATAGCATGCACTTACCAAAAAAAATAAAAATAAAAAGTTGTTAAGCTGAACTCCCCCAATGGAAGATTTCCATCTATAAAAGTCAGTATCAAATATTTCCAAATGAGATGTTGGAAGTTGTATGTGCAGCTTAAGCAGCACCAGTTACTACCTCAAGCCTTAAGAACTCAGAAATCTGTAAGTAAAAGACGATTCAATACAAGAATCCCTCACAAAGAAATCAAAGTAGATAATAAACATGAATTAGACATCAAGGAAACACAGTCAAGATTTCAATGACAGGTCACTACCCACACTGCCAAGTCTGATGAAATTGAGATGCTGTACAGTATCAGGCATGATGAGATTCCACAAGGAGAGCTCTCCCCCTGCTGATGTGGTTCATAGAAAATGCACATGTGTACTCCTCTGCACGCTTGCAAGAATAGCTGTAGTACTTTTATTTTTAAAGATCACTGTAACAGAAGCATAACTGTTAGATTTACAGAGTACATTTTTACAGTCAAATTCCACACAGCTACACACCACATAAAATGGAAGGGCAAAAGAAAACCACAAAAGAAAAGATTTTTTTATACAAACATTTAAATATGCATAAAGTTCAAAGCTGACAAGATCAAATTTCATTTAGAAATTCATGGGCATTTAGTAAAATAATTTGGAGGCTAGAGAGCTGATTCAGTAAGATTGCTTGCTGTACAAACACATAGACCTAAACCCTAATCCTTGGTTCACAGATAAGGAGGTGGTCACATACATGCATTTTCTTTCTTACAAAAAAAAATTTTACCTTTTTGAGCTATCAGGTTCATAGATGATGGGTTTAATAGATGTAGGGGAATGATTCAACTGGTCAAAATGGAGATATTTGATAACAATTATAACTGGATTGGGGGTGGCTGGCCTAACTAGAATTTTGATGGTATATATAGAGGAGACTGATCATCACATGAGTTTACATTAAGAGACTACCTTCTGAAACGAATTATTTTCTCTAGGTCTTGTAAATCCTGAAATCAAGACTTGGGTAAACAGATGAGAAGTGGCCTTTTTCTAGGGATTAGTGCACTAGTAGACTGTCCAATTGTTCATGTCACATATGCCACAAAAAGACAGACACATATGAAAAAAGAAACAACTTTTACACCAGACAGGATTTCTTCCTGGTAAGGTTTATTCATTCATCTGCTCACTCATTTCATTTGTAAAAGTCTCACTGGGCAAACGATAGTGTTCGTCCTTGTTTTAAATGGCTGGTCTAAACCACTGAGCATGACCTCATGGAACTTGCATTCTACATGTTCTGCATGGAGGTGGAGCAGCAGTGATTTTAGAATAACACAGGACCACACACATACTCTGTAAAAAGAAAAGAAGAGCAGACTATGGGAGACAAGAGTGCAGGACGTTAGAGGAAAGAAAGAACAGCTGACATCTTAACTAAGATGTCTTAGCTGGCTGGCCTCACTTGAGTAAGGAAGACCCTTCACAGACACTAAGAAAAGGCTCTACAGCAGAAGGAACTGCGACTAAGCAAGAAGGTATGCAAGCCGGAAAGGCATAAGCAAGAAACTTTGGAGCCCACTGTAGGAATATTTTGGCTTCTCCAGGGAGAGTATTGGGAAGCCAATATCCCTCTACTGTCTGTGTGTCCTTTTTCTTCTCAACCTCATTCAAATATTTTTTAAATAAATTGCTGGGAACACAGTACTGTAGTGTTATCATTGAAAAGTGAGTATTTTGTGTTTCTTTTAAAAAAGATTTTATTATGTTTTTAATTGTGTACACCTATGTGTGAGTATGCGCACATATGTATGTGTGTGCATGTGTGTGTGCGCCCACTGAAGCCAGAAAAAGGTGATAAAAGCCCTGGAGCTGGAGTCTCTGCCAGATGCTGATGCTGGGAATTGGAAATGGGTACTCTACAAGAGCAGTAACTGCTCTTAACCCCAGAACCACCTCTCCAGCTTTACTTTCTATAGTGACTGGAATCTCTTCTGCAGTTTTTATTCAGTTGTTTGTATTCCTTTTTTACATTATGTGTATCAGTCATAGTAGAGCTAAGTATATGTTAAGACTTTACAAAACTTACTTTCTAATCTGACATTCAGATACTGACTTCATTCACATCTCCTAATAACTTACTTATGTAGTCCTGGCTCTCATGGAACTAACTATGTAGACCAGACTAACCTCAAATTTCAAGATCCTTCAGCCTCTGCTTCCATGGTGCTGGAATTAAAACACATGTGTTATCCAGGCCTAGCTCATGACAAAAAAAAATGTTTAGATAGGGTTCTTGACTCAGTCTCGATGTACTGGGATCACAGGTATGGGTCACCATACCCAGCTTAAATTTAAAATCAAAGTGATTTTTAAATTGTTTATTCTAAAGCCATGTAATGTTCTGCCTTCATCAAACTATCCTCCTAAACAGCAGGTGCTAGACACTCTGAAATGTCGTTCTGAGGTTTTAAAGGTTTCTTTTATTCCTTTGGACAGCATTTTCTGTAACCTTTGAAGCTGGAATTCATATATTGTCTCCTCCATGAAAAGTTAATTTTGCAATCACAAGTACTGCATATAACGTGTTACCACACAAAAGCACTACCTTTGCTCTATTAAAAGTGAAGGTGCATATAAACCTGGTGTGATCTATAAGAGATGATGGGACATGTGTCTCTAAGGTTTGGGAATAGGACTGAGTTCCAAGAACTAGATAGGATCACCTCATCTCTAGTGACACACGAGAAAGTTACCTGTTAGATAAGCCAAGCAAATAATCTTTCTAGAGAGAATCTTATCTTTCCAAATTCAAAGATCTTCTGTTAGAGGACCTGGAAGACGGTTCTGTTGGTAAAGCGCTTGTTGTACAAGCATAAGGACCTGAGTTCTGATTCCCAACAAAAGCTAGGTGTGGCAGAAAACACCTGTCAGCCCAGGGATGGAAAAGCAAAGACAGGAAGATCTCCAGGGCTTCTGGCTAGTCAGTCCAACCCAGCCAACAGCAGGAGGTTAGTGAGAAGCTGTTTCAAAAGCAAAGGGGAAGAGCAATAGAGGAAGGCACCGATATGAACCTCCTGCCTTCAGATGCACATGCATAAACTGCACACTCATGGGATCTTCTACTCTAAAGAAAGAGGGTGCAGAGGGAGAAGGGAATGTGAAAAATATTGCAAGGAACCAAGTGAGCAAGCAGGGGATGATGATTGTAGACAGAATGGGGGGTCAATTACTTTTCTGTGGTAATCAATTTGAAATAAAAGCACAGGGGAGGCTGAGGCGGAGACTGCCATGAGGTTACTAAACTAATCTGGGCTACATAGTAAGATCCTGCTTATAAACTAGAGCAGACAGGAAAAGCTTAGTAAGTTTATGGTAAATGTGAGACAAGCTAGCAGGCCACCTGTGAGGGACTTTCTTCATCATAGTATTTGAAGTAGGATGGAACTTTCTAGTGGTAGTCAGACAAAAAAAAGGTCCAAAGGAAAAGTCTTAGGTTTTGCCTGCTTGTCTTCCATCATGGTGTTTAGCTATCTCCCTGCTCTTGGGTTGCTGTCCAGTTATCTCCCTGATCTAGGCTGCGTTCCAGTTATCTCCCTGCTCTTGGGTTATTGTCCAGTTATCTCCCTGTTCTAGGCTGTTGTCCAGTTATCTCCCTGTTCTAGGCTGCTGTCCAGTTATCTCCCTGTTCTAGACTGTTGTCCAGTTAAGCTCCCCTGCTGCTATCATTGCTTGTTGATATTAGAATTCAGCTTCTTCAGTCTTCCAATGTGGACTGAAGACCAGTGGCTCTCAAGGAATGCTTCAGGCATTCAGAACCAGAGTGGGACTGTTTGAGACTGCATGTAGCCTTGTAGACTGTACGGCTACTCAGTGTGGATACCTTACTGCATCACGTAAGCCAATCTAGCAAACTCCCTTATCATCTATGTTCACTCTGTTAGCGCTGCTCCTCTGGAGAACCCTGGCTCATACAGACATCTTTCCAACTTCATTTCTTTTTCCTAAGTGTTTCCACTGTTGAATTTAAAAGCTTTATGCTACCATTTTCATATCAGGACCTATAAGTTCATATTTTTTTGGTTTTACCTTTCTTACTAATACTTCCAGACTATTTAAATCAAATGCTTTTAATTTTGTGAACTAATTTATCTTGTGCTAAACTATAATGGAATCATCAAATGTTTAATTAACAAATCAAAATTTAAATAGACTTATTGAGAGGTTGATAAAGGCAGCTGGAATATAAAAACTGGGCACTTTCCTCTGTCACCATCTTGTGATTGAAATCTCATTCTTCCAGTTTATAACATGCATGCCATTCATTCAGCCAGTACTCACTCAGCACCTCCTATGTATCACATATGTTCTATATGCTGAGGACACCAGTGAATAAGCAGGGTTCCTGCTTTTCTGAAATTTAGATTCTAATACTGTTAGACAGACAATAATAATAACAGACAATATTGATTTGGCCAGCCTGCTTGCTGAGATAGTTCTAAGCACTTTATAAATGGTTATGTAATCACCATAGCAAGAGAAAGAATGACCCCTACTTTCACACAAGGGATGGAGGGCATGAAAGGGAAAATAATTTGCCCAACTGTACACAGCTAGGGTGGGCAGAACTGGAGTTGAAGCCAGAAGAGTCACATAGATAGTTGGTCTCAACATTGTGGCTCAGACCAAAAAGATGGTGTATAGGTAATGAAACAAACAGGAAACCTGCTGGTGTTCAGTACTGCGGAAGTACAGAACTGGGTGCTATAAATTTATGCATGGGAAGAGTGGGGGTACAGTATGCATGCCAAGGGAAACCCCCGCTGAGAAAGCAGCGGTGAGCTAAGACCTGGAAAAATGGCATTACAGCTATCATGGGGCAGAGGTGAAGAACACAGTGCAAGACTTTAACAGACACAAGGATGCAGACCTGAACTCAGGAGGCTGAGGCAGGAGGACAGTCAGTGCAGAACACATAGGACTTAGGTTCAAAGTCAGCCTGGCCTACATAGCAAGACCTTATCTCTAAACTCAAAATAAACACTGGGATCCTGCCTTGCTCTGAGAAACAGAAATGTCCAGTTGAGTGTATCTAGAGCATGGTGTACCCATGACTGACTGAAGCCAGGAAGGTAGGCAGGAGACAGATGTGCTCAAAGCAGCCTCAGAATCAAGTAAATACAAGTGACTGTTTTATCCTAAGTGCCTAAAACATGATTGTTCTGTGCAAAACCACAGGAAAGTCCATTTGGAGGTAATTACAATCCAAGAGGAAAATGACAGTGGCCTGAATGAGTGTGGCTACAGGAAAATGAACTTCAGGATAATTTTTACAATACTGGGTAAGAATGGCAAGTGGACAGGATGTAAAGAGTCAAGGAAGTGGATGTTGGACTTCGGGTTTGAGCCGCTAATATGATGGCGTGTCCTTAGACTTTGTGAGGCTGAGGGAGGAACATGGCTTATATAAGAAAAAAGAAGCCTTTCACCTTTTGCTTCACAGAGGAGGGGGAGGCTGTCTTTTCTAATTCTATTTCTTTATTAAAAGTTCCAAAGGAAAGATTGGAGGGCACCGAAATGTCCAGTTTGGGTAGAGTCTTCTACTTGGGACAAACTGGAGAACTGAATCCGAATTTATTTATTGTGCGTCTGCCGTCTCCCAAGATCTCAATGATGGAACACCAAGACAATGCTGGGAAGTCATCTTAATTCCATCTCACGTTCCTCCTGGCTGTTAGGCCCACTGTTCTCTAAATGATCACTGTCGTCAACGCTCATGGCATCTCCCGTTACAGTACACCAATTAATGCATCTCTCTCGCTCTCTCTCGCTCTCTCTCTCTCTATATATATATATATACTTAACAAGCAATGCGACTATAACCCCTGCCCGCCTGCCTATCTATCTATCTATCTATCTATCTATCTATCTATCTATCTATCTATCTATCTATCTATCATCTTTATCTTAACAAGCAATGCGACTATAAGCCTGCCTCCAAGGCTAATGGTTTCGCAGGGTGGTACCTTTGGAAAGCTCGTGGTTGCCCCCGTACTTATTTGCGCCTTCTTCATGTCCACTTAAGTGACAACTCTAGTCCCTAGGCTGCGGGGTCTACTGAGGCAGGAGCCGTTGGGCCAGTTGGTGCGTTCTCCTCAGATCTCACGCCTGCGAGACGCGGACCGATCCCCGGCGCCTTCCGTCCTCGCAGCACGGCGGCGAAGGAGTCTGGGAGGGGGTCGGGGAAGGAAAAGACGCGAGAGAGATTAAGTAATTGGCTCTCAAAGACACAACAAAAACATTCACGCTCGACTCCGAAGCACTGCTCTCAAACGCCCGCCCCCTGAGAGCCACCTTGGCTCCGCCCCTCAACGACGTCACACAAACTTCCTCCCAGGTCTCCGCAGATTGGTCGGAGCCTCAGCCTTTGATAAACGGTTAAAAAAAAAAAAATTATACTCGACATTTGCTTCCGGGTGTGGAGTGCGAGCTTCCGACACGGCCGTTGGAGGCGCGAAGATTTTGCTTCCGGGTCTTACTGAGACCCAGGCGTAGGACCGGAAGCCTCGCATTCTGCTTCCGGTCTTGGGCTGGTGTCCCGGGCGCGGAGGTTTCTGGGAGTCTGGAGTTGCAATGGTTCGTGGGTGAGCTTCGAAGGGTGCTGCGTCGGTCCCCACCAGGGTAAGCCTCTGGGACAGGGCGGTCTGTGGGCTTTGTGCGGGTGGCGCCGGGAAGCCGGGATCGCCGTGATGACGGCCGCGGTGCCGGGGTGGCGGGAGGGATCTGCGGCCGAGCCCGGAGTGGTCACCGGCCGGAGGGCGGGATGGGGCTGTCTGAGCGTGCTGCTTAAGCTCACGGAGACCCAGTAGCACCAAAGTTAGGCTGGAATTCTTAGTTGACAGCTCAAAGCTGAAAGTGCCACAGGGTTCTCTTGCTGCTGCAGCGACACAGTCTCATGTAGCCCAGACTAACTTCGAACTCCTGATTCTCCTGCTTTCGACCCCCTAAGCGCCTGGGATCACAGGAGTACCCATCACACCCAGTTCAGGATGGGTTCTTGGTGTTTCTCGGGGCGGAGTTTCGATTTTCTGAGCGTTGCTTAAGTTACAGCGTACCAAATGTCTTACTGTTGTAGAAAAAAATTGGATCGGCAACATTGTTGGGTAGTGTTAACCTATGTAAATGTCATTGGGTTTTAAACAAACTCTAAGACACTCCACGTTATCAGTGACTTTAAAAGAAATATGGTGTTTTGTTTTGGATTTTCCTTCTTTTGGTCTGTTTGCTATTTTGTGAGGCTTGTCACAATGCAAATCTTGGCTAGGCATGGTGGTATACACCGTTAATTCCAGCACTGCAGAGGCAGAGTTGGGTAGACCTCTGGAGGGTTCTAGGACAGTCTGATGAACATAGTTCCAGGTCAGCCAGAGCTGACCAAGTGTAGTGAGATTCCCATCTCAAAATAAACAACTACAAAACCTCAAGAACCTAGTGCTAGTAGGAAAACAAGAATTTTTAAGTCATTTATTTTAAAAGCCACATTACACTATTGTACAAGGTCTGCCATGTGTCAAAATTCACATAATGATTCTATAGAAATGTCAGCATTCCAGAGATGACAGAAACAAGCCTTGCCCAAGGCTACCCAGCTAGAACAGAAACAAACTCAGATCTCATATTAGTTCTTTATACTGAATAACAGCTGCCTGGCAGGACGTTACTAGTTATACCTTGAGTTTTCTAATTCTGCATTTGTAGAGATTTGTGTTGAAGCAAACAGCTTAAGGAATTTTGAGGAGAGTTTTGATAATTTTCTCAAGGATAGTAATTTATGAATGATCTCTAAAGTGAGAGTTCTACAGAATATAACATAAACTCTCTTTTGTCAGAGAATAAAAGATGACAACAGCAGCCAGACCAACTTTTGAACCTGCCAGAGGTGGAAGAGGAAAAGGAGAAGGGGATTTGAGCCAGCTCTCAAAGCAATATTCAAGCAGAGACCTTCCCTCCCATACAAAGATAAAATACAGGTAATAAGACTGCCATTTGTCTTGTTCACGGAATGACTTATGATTACTTCTAGATTATTGTATTTAAATTACTTATCTTTAAAGGAAAGGAGTTTGCAATAAAATTATGCAGTGTAGTTTTCAGGTGTTAGCAGGAAATCTTGTGTAGATGAAGCAGTCATTCATGACGAGCACCTCAGAAGACTGGGCTGTACTGAATATGGGCGTCTTGTGTGACAGCCCCTGAGCTGATCAATGTTTTTTTAAAAAGTCAAAGACATTTCAATTAGTCTCCAGCCATATTGTCGGGAAATGTGTGCTTCAGTTTGTTCTTTTGTTGGTACTGACAACATCACAAGTGTCTCCGAGTAACTTTCAGATTAAAATATTATCTAGTCCTCTTCCATTTTGTGCTTGAGAGACAGTTGCGTTCTGAATTGTCTTAAATTGCTATGGCCACGTAGGTTCTTTTCCTTGACAAGTGAGAACAACATTTTTAACCCAATTTTATTTCCACTTAAGACAAACTACACAAGATGCTCCTGAAGAGGTTCGCAACCGTGACTTTAGGAGAGAATTGGAAGAGAGAGAGAGAGCTGCTGCGAGGGAAAAAAATAGGGACCGTCCGACCCGAGGTACCTACACTGTCACAAGTGTTGTTTCCAAAATTATGTGGTGGAAATGGTTTGTTGTATCTTAGTAATTGGAAATAACAGTTTTGTGCACTATCCCTCTTTGATCCATGATTAGAGATGAGAGCTGGGCAGTGGTAGCACACACCTTTAATCCCAGCACTCAGGAGGCAGAGGCAGGCAGATCTTTGTGAGTTCGAGGCCAGCCTGGTCTACAGGAGCTAGTTCCAGGACAGGCTCCAAGGCTACAGAGAAACCCTGTCTTGAAAAACCAGGAAAAAAAATAATTAACAGTGATAATGAGGTTCATTTCAATCGCATCTTCTCATGCTTGATACTAGAGGAAAAGCTGTCCTCTCGGTTCCTGTCAATAGACTTTGGCTTGGACTTTCTAGCAGCTGAACCCAGGCCTTCTGTCTAGAGCTGTCCTGTTTGATTTGCTCCCCCACGTAATCGGAGAGTAACGAGAGAAGCGTCAGTTACCCTTCTTGTATTTCTAGAGTGTGTGAACATTGGCTAAATTTCCTGAGATGCCATGATCCTCATAACTCATTCATTCATTTAATGTTGACTAGCAAATATGTATCAGAGGCTTATTTGCCAGTCCTGGGTGATTCCCTGCTGTCACTGCGCTTTGTGTGGATCCTTTTTGCCCAGTAGTTTCTAAAACACTGTTTTAAAATACAGTGCTAGTTTTATTAACCAAATGTTTGTTTTCTTCAGAACATACAAATTCCTCTTCCGTGTCCAAGAAGCCCCGCTTAGACCAGATCCCTGCTGCCAACCTTGATGCCGATGACCCTCTCACAGATGTATGTGGTGGAGCTTTCGGGTTTGGTTTGGTTTGGTTTTTTTGTTTTTGTTTGTTTGTTTTTGCCTCCTAAATGCTGGAAATGGACCACTGCCATTGGGCCTATTTCTTGAAATTTTTTTTTAATATTTTGACTTTGTGAAGTGATCTATATTTGTTTTTACCTACAAATATATTGTTGACCTCATACTTTAAACTTAGTAATTGTTTTTAAAACAAAGTATTCTGTCAAAGACTTTTACTACAGGTCTAGTTTGGGGGGCTGCATGAAAGCAGTCTGTGAGAAAGGGTGTGCCCACCTGTGACTGAATTGAGTTGTGTCGAAGGTTAAGCTGCTTGCTATGACACATATGACTCTCAGAGACTGAGTGCCCGAGGAGCAGCACCTTTGGCCTTTCTACCCAGTCAATGTGATGCCCTTTTCAGACACATAATGCACATGGGCCCCTTATTGAATAGGGAGCATGAACATTCAATGGGACCCTGCAGCCTTTTTATGTTGAATGTAGCTCAGGCCGGCCTGGTAATCACAGCCGTCTAGTCTCATGCTTCAACCTCCTAAGTGCTGGGTTTACAAATGTCATCTACTATGCCTAACTCCCAAGTTCACTTGGCCATTTTCTATATAACTGAACAGTTATATAGAAATATATATATAATTTATAGAAATATATAAATATATATATGTGAGTGACCTTTCTTAAGTATCTAATTGCATACATATGTCAGCGATCATATTATTATATTATTAAATTATTAATTTATGAGTTATTCTAATAAATAGGAAGCCTTACATTAAGTGAAATTCTGTTATTCATTCGAAATATTTTCTTTTGGAATTTGAGCACCCTTCCTTGCTGGCTTAGTCATTTTGCACTACGTGAACTCTTTTAAGGTGAGACACTGTACACTGTGCTGTGTTTCATTCTGAAGCATCACTTGCTTTAGAATGTTTCCATATGAAAATGCTTTTTTGCTTGGTGGTGGTGGCACACACCTTTAATCCTAGCACTCAGGAGGCAGAAGCAGGCAGAACTCTATGAGTTTAAGGCCAGTCTGGTCTACAAAGCAAGTCCCAAGACAGCTGTCACATAGAGAAACCCTGTCTTGACACCACCCCAAAAAAATTCGTTTTGACCATCTAAATATGAAGGGTATTTTTCAAAGGTTGCCATTTTAGTTAGTATTTATTATATTTTTTATTGGTTGTTGGCTTTACTGTGATATTTCGGTGCGTCCACTTTCTGATGTGTGTTTCCGTCTGTTCCGGCCGTGCTCTGTCGCAGGAGGACGATGAGGACTTTGAAGAGGAGAGCGACGATGACGACACTGCGGCTCTTCTGGCAGAGCTGGAGAAAATCAAGAAGGAAAGAGCTGAGGAGCAGGCCAGGAAGGTAGTGCTTGATGCGCAGTCTCTCCGCCACACGTCCTCAACCAGAACCCTTTAACTCTGCTGCTGTTGTTTATTGGAAAGCAGCGTGTCTAAATATTGATCTATCTTTTTATAATGACATTCTAAGTCCCCTAATTTTGCTGACAGTTCCTTTCAGATAGTTTACAAATGAGTAATGTTCAACTTAAGAACAAACAAGTGAGCTGTAGTCTTCTAATTAGATGTAAGATTGTCTGTAGCACTTGTTCCCAACCTTCCTAATGCTGTCACCCTTTAACACAGTTCCTCGTGTTACGGTGACACCAACCATAACATTATTCCATTGTTACTTCATAACTGTAATTTTGCTGTTGTTAGGAATCATAACGTAAGCATCCTTGTGTGGCTTGTCACCCAGCTCTGTCGCGGCTCTACTGCGATCGCAGCCCAGAGTGGCCACAGTGCCTATAAATAAGGTGGCCATGTTCCCAAAAATCTAACCTCAAGCCTGGGGAGGGAGTGTAGATTTGATGCACAGGCTCTCTGACCATTAGGCCACAGATCTGGCATATGAGTAGGGAAGGAGTTGCCTTTTCTTCCCAGTGCTCTGTGTTAACTGTAAGTTTGTGTACATTATATGCTTACTCCTGGTTTTGTGAC